TCTCCTCTTTACTCTTCTCTCAGCACGCTGTCAGAACTAAGTGAAAAACAAACAATGGCATAAAATATTATTAATATGTCGGGTAGTAATAGATTTATTTATTTTCTTCTCAGAGTGTACCAGAATGCGTAGTTTATGTTAGTATTTCTAAAAATCTCCTGGGGGAGAATCCCCCCAGACCCCCCTGCTGGGGTTGGGTTTTCAGCATGTGTGCCTTTTTATATAGTTCAGCTTTGATTCCATTATCTCATTAAACCTTTTTTAAAAGCATACTTTAGTTCTGTGACTGTACATGTGTATATGCACTGTACTTCACTTTTATTAATATTGTATTCTGAAAAGCGTATATATTACAGCACGATTTTTTGTTGAATAGATTTGAGTGCTTCAAAATGTTGGGTCACGATGTATTGACCAAGTAAAAAGTGGGTCCCGAGGCCTAACCAGTTGAGAACCACTGTACTAACCCATCATCCAAGGGTAGTTTTCACTATAAGTAAAACATTTTTTGGACGGACACTATAATTTACAGTTTTTTACTATGTTCAATCTGAATGTTCTTTAAAATATAAAACATCTATATTGATTCTGACACTTCTACATCCAACTCACAGATGTAACCTTGCTTTGAGAATAAAGATTATTAATTTAACCCTTTTAGAAGGGAAGATATGGTCATTTGTTCTGGGAATGTCATTTTCGAGCCTGAGACCTGAAAAACAGGCTCAGTGCTAAGGTTAAGGAAACTTGAGGTTATATTACTTCGGTCTCCAATGAATTGATTCATTGGTGGAGACACCAGGATATGGGAAACATAAATCCCTGACCAGAAAAAACATAACTGTTCAACCAATGGACCACCCTGAATGCATTCAGGTTGGTTCAAGCACCAGGTCTAGTAAAAATGACACGCTAACAAAGTTGAAATAATCAGCTGATCATTCTCTTTCCCTCTTTCTCCAAGTTTCTCTCCTCCAGCCGGTTTAATGAAACGGTTTAAGATCAAGGATGGTGCTGTCGAAAGCAAAACAAGGAAGAGATAAAAGAACAGACTGTCTTCTAATGACAACTTATGTTTCAAAGCAGCTGCTGCTGTAGGTAAGGATTATCACAAAGCCCTTTCCCTGCAGTATCGATGTTTTTTTATTTGTGTATTTTTAGGTAGAAAATAACCACAATTTATGATCATGATATAATGTAATTCAATCACTCTGTTGCAAATATAAATATGCTCCTATTCCATCTTGGAGCTTTTGCTGATAACACAACCAATATTAACTTCCAGATGTGTACAATACAACCACAGTTAAAGATGTTAACCGGGGCTCACTCCAACAAGATCGATTTGTTGACAATTTGTGGGTCACAGATTGGGATGGCAACAAATCAGCCTTGTGAGATGTATCTCACTGTCCCCCACAAAGGGGTCCTGTAGCTAAAACAAACACTGAAAGCATTCCTTTACCCAGCTCATCATCCAAGAGTTGCGAAATGACATCTTCCTGTCATTGATATTATAAATATGGGTTTTCAGCTCTCTAATTACAGCCAATAACAGAGGGGAAGGCTTTACCATTTCAGGATACAAGATTTAACAGCTGTGCCGCTTCTCAGAGTAATCTAAGATGCTGGGATTGGAGGAGACAGATAGAAAAAATCCACCTCATTAATCCTCCAGCTGTACAGATCCCTCACATCTTGGAGCTGTGATCATTTTCTTCATTGCCTCACAGAGACATGTTGTGTTGCATCAAGTTGCTGTTCTACCTAATAAGTATATCATTATTTCATGGCTTTATGTGGTGCTGTTACTGTTTATACTGTCATAGACCCGCTGAAGCATTTGAAATTGGCAGTGATAAATTGTAACAGTAGCAGCATCTGCACTGTCATTGGTCACAGAAAAAATTAGGGTTGAAGATGCAGGTATTGAAGAATATGGAATAAATCATTTGGATTAATGGCAAGGACACACAGACCAATACCCAATTTACATTTCATCATGGATTGAGCGTTTCAATTAATTCAATCTGTCTGTATAGAAAATAGACCTGCTTTATACAAAAAAAGACATGAAAATCTCACTTTTTACAATGAGATCTTTAAGGTGTTAATTGGCTGTGTAATTTCATTCTGACATTCTAACATGTTTTGCTCTGTCTGTGCTACAAAAATCTCCTCTTTTGCATCTAAAATTAGGGCTGTGCAATTAATCGTGTTTTAATCTCGATTACGATTTTGGCTTGCAACGATTACGAAAACAGTGTAATCGAAATAAAATTATTATTTTGCTGCATTCCCTTTCGCAATGATGCTCTCAATTTGTCTTGTCTTATACATCCTGCCTGCGCGTGCACCTTCACCCCTCGCTAAAAGCACTCTCGGCCAGGTTGTGTTGTGACTTGCAGTCTGTTTAATAAATCCATATAAACACGTTACAAGAGAAGCTTTAGTTGCAGTGTCTTTATCCTCCGGTCCTCCATGCTCCATTCTCTAGCGTACAGTCAACTTTTACTAACTCGTCAAGCCGGAGTCTCTTAGCTCGCTACTTCCGGTTTTGGGATAAGGGGTTACCAAAATAAGAGTACTGCGTGTAGCAGTATAATTAAACATTACAGGTTGTGAGTGACATTAGTTATCATATTTATATATGTTTAGTAGGTTGTGGAAGTGTGCACCAAAATATTTGTTGATCTTTATTGGTATTTATTATTTTGATATTATTTATTTAAATGTAGATATAAATGTTAAAGGTCCCATGTCATGGCCATTTCTACTGATCATAATTCCATTGTTGAGGTATACTAAAATAGATGTATATTGTGCAATTTTTCAAACTCACATTGGTTTCTCATACAGCATCTCTGTATAGTATGTGTATTCACTCTCTGTCCTAAACGGCTTGTTGGAGCTCCTGTCCCCACCTCCCTGTGAGCCCAGTAGCCGTCTGCGAGACAGCGAGACACAGCAAAACCCAGCCCGAAACCAGCCCGAGCACACACATAGACTCACAGCCTCCCGCTGTCTCAGGCTAAGAAATCAGCGGAGCTGCAGCTGAGAAAAGATTGAGTGTGTGTGTGTGTGTGATGTAACGTAATGGCTCCGCGGACGTAACGTAACGTCACTATACCCAAATACGTCACTATACCCAAGAAGAAAAAAATGGAAAAAGAGAAATCTCCAACGAGGCGTTCTGGGACAGCATAGACAGGTATTTTCTGTGTTAGAGTTTTACTCGCTACAGGGTGTACTTTGAGGGATTGTGACTCTGCAGACCGTTTCTATGCATAACAAGCTACATAACACACAAGGGGACGGGTAATAACCAGAAAAGCATGACATGGGACCTTTAAATAAATAAATATATATATTTTTTTGTTATTGGTTTTTCAGTTGAATTATACTTAAAGTTCAGGGTAATCAACTGTTAAAAACATACTGTTCAAATTATTATTATTTTTTTTTTAAAGTTCAATAAATGGATGTTTTCAAAGTCAATGAATAATCGTGATATCAATATTGACCAAAAATAATCGTGATTATGATTTTTGCCATAATCGAGCAGCCCTATCTAAAATACAACCAAACTGATGTAATTTATTTGTCAGGGAATTATCCAAGTGAGACAATTTAGGGTGTGTTCTCTCTTTGACTGTAAATTATTGCCCTTCTTGGATTTCATTGGTCAATAACTTTCATGGACTTTAGGTATCTCACAAGACAATTTGACATATCCTAGGATTTTAAAGTTGCCTATTAAATTAGATTCAAGATGAATTGGCACATTTAAACAACTAGAAAGCTGAGACTCATGATATTCTTCTTCCTATGAAGCTGTTGAAACAATTGACAAACAAGTAGTAGATTGATATCCCATGGAATTGAAGTCAAAATATCCCAAGAAAATAATATCCTCTTCTGTTCTTGCGATGTGTGAATAAGAAAGAACCTTTGATTCATATGTTCAAATCCAATGAAAATAAGAAGTGTGCAATCCTTTATTAAAGTGGACCTATCATGCTATATTTAAATGATATATTGTAGGGCCATACCTATATAAGGTATATTTATACGTTTCTGTTTTCAAAATACCAAACAGATCATGCATTTTAGCCATGCCTCATTTCGCTCTATGTGCTGTTTGCTGTCTACGGGGCTGATTCTGTGAGACCACGCCCCCCTGCAGGAGAGGGTAGCCGTGCTCTGATCAAGTCAAGAGGGGGAGAAAAAAAGATCTCCGTCCTCTGTGTTTTATTATATTGTTATAGGCCTATAGAGTCGTTATTCATTTGTTTTAAAGCTCAATAAATAACAAAGAAGACCTTTGACCGGCACTTTTCTAATTTTGTCCGGAAGATTGAAACTTTAACGGACATCTTGACCGGCGAAAGAAACTGAAACTGAAACTCTGCCGCACGGTCCTCTCGTTCCTTGGAAGAGGCGGAGAGGTGGGTGTTTGTCATCTATCTGCTGGTGGACTACCGGAGAGAATTACAGTGCTTGCCTCAACGGGGAGGGATTGCATTGAATTAAAGCAGCGGGAGCAAAGGCTTGCCTCGGGGAGGGAGAAAAAAAGCCACAGCGGAGAATAAACAGAAGGGTAACCATGGTAACCATGGGCGGGAAGTCTTCTTCGCTGCTTTTGTGGCAGACTACAGCGCCACTTACAGGCCTGGCATATGTACTACAGCGTCTCTAGCGCTTTCGAGCGCCAATGGCCGGCCGTGGCCCAACCCCACATTCCCCTGATAGGTGGAGAGTTGGCCCAATAGCCGTAGAGCCACTTATGTGACGTCATAGAAGTGTTCAAATCTGGATCAGTTTTTATCAGATCCGTTGCAGCCCCTTTTTTAGAGATTTGGGTATGGAGGAAAATAGAGAGGGTTGTGTTTTCTGACACTTGGTGAGTTCCCTGGAACACCGGGGACACATATTCATGTATAAAAGACGTACAAAAGTGCATTTTGCATGATAGGTCCCCTTTAAATAAGCATACTTACTGCTTATCCATTTGGCATTAGGGTCATGAACCTTGAATTCTTTTCTAAAGAGGTCTGCAACAGTCATCTTGCCCTTGAGAGCCAGTTGGTCATCCTCACCTGTAAAGGAATGAACACAATTAATATCAAGATACTGAGCAGCTCCTTATAAAATAAATGCTTTTTTGTAAGTAAAAAACATATAAATTACAGGAAATATTTTTGTTATACTTTCCAATACATCCTGGAGTGAGTAGAACATTTAAAATGCTTTAAAAGCTTTATAAATCTTCACAATGCAAAGATTTGAAACACAGTGACTTGACAATAATGTCTCTTTATATAAGGTTAGAAAAAAAACTAAACAGACATATATGATGTTCGAATTGCCATTTTGAGCCCTCATTAATGGTCTAGTTAGTTAAGTGATAGTAAGAGTCATAAGAGAAAGTATTCTCATCATATCCTCCACTAAAATCCTCTCAACCATTGACAGCTATAGAGTTCTGGGGCCTCATTTATGACGTACGATCAACACATGGCGTACGTCATGTTTATAAATGAGGTACATTTTCTAAGCAATGTTTCCAATTTATAAAAAGCTAACATGATGGGTCAATGTGCGGTGGTCTACGGACAATTTGACCCATGCGTACTCAAAATAACGGGTTAGGAACTGCACCACCACTGGCAGTAGGATGAAAGGAGTAACATGTAAAATAATACCATAAATCAAAATATTACCTCTCATCAAACTGCAGAAATGTATCAATCTTACAATGAATAAAAAAATGCTTGTTTGATACTCCAGAATGCAAAAAAAACATAATTTGAGAAATAAATAAATATTATGTTATGCAAACAACCCCTCAAACATGTTCTCTGATTATTACTACAATTATTGCATGTTATAAAATGTATTCTACAATCCACTTTGACCTATGATAAATCAAGTAACTGTTGGGGAATAATTTGCCCTGCATGTCCTCCTTCGCCCTCTGACGCAGCTGACCAACCTTGAGCAGCCGTTATCTCCCATAAGGAGGGGCTGCCCTAGCATATTGTTGATGTTGCCAGTTTATGACCGGGCAACTCTCTGTCAGAGATAGTTATTGTTGTGGGACACCTGGAACACATCCTTCTCGGAGTGTAGATGACCCCGAGCCATAAGCGACAACAACTGTGACAACAGAATGTTGATTATTACACTCTGAACTAGTTAAAACCTCGAGCTACAGGAGGGTTCTTGAGGATTGATTGTGGCATCTCAACCGTGTGGTCAAACCGTGGCCCGTGACATGTCTTGTGAATTCTCCGGCCGAAGCTCCAAATAAACCGCCAGTGTTTGCCATCAAAGCTCCAGTTCTCCTCGTGTCTCTCTGAGTCCTGACTCCAATTGCTTCAGAAGTTTCCCCCACAGTAACAACGACTAATCGAACTGGGGCTCAACAATTGACTGTATATGGACTCAACGTGAATAACACATGATGGTTATGGACAGAGATATAAATATCATGATCATGGAAAAACATTATATGATCCCAATCAGTTTTGAAACCTCTAAAGCTGAAATTAAGAGTACCTGATCATTTAAAGAAATACGTCTGGCACAAGCCAGTTGTTGTTGAACATTTTGCTATCATCTGATTTTTCCAGAGGTTACTTACATTTGTGAAAGCTTTCTATTTGGCACATTTTGATCCCTTATCATAGGATGTACAGTATATCCAGGAGTTGTGAGTTGTTTAATATGAGACAGCTACACTTCTCTTCAACATTAAGTAAATTAAAAGGGTTTGCATAAGACCTTAAAGATCTCCTATCATGCTATTTTTAGGCATATATTATGGGTATCAGATATATAAAAATATCTAAAAAACATATCTATGATGTGTTTTGCTCAAAATACCAAACAGATCAGGCATTTTAGACATCCCTCATATCCCTCTTTTTCAGCCCTGTTAGAGAAGTGCTGATTCTCTGCTGGCCCCGCCCCCTTTTGAGCACGCAGGCACACTGTGAGTTCTGTGACGAGCAGGCTGTCTGCTCTGCTCAGATACAGCTAAATGCTGCCTTGATTAAATGCCATATCATGTTCCAAACCACTTCAAGGATTATTTCTGAAACAGTATGGAGCTCAAATGCTTCTTTTCTTGCGGGTTTACAAGGTGAGTTCCTTTTTTTATTTCCTGCTTTTTTACACATACTCTCTCCAGTACAGGTTAGCTCTGAGTGTTAGCGATGCTTGCTAATGTAAACAAAGACCATTCAATCGGGTACCGGTTGTCAGTACTTAGTACCGTTTCGATACTCATCCCTAGTGAACAGTGTGTGGTATATTGTGCCGAACAGATGGAAAGTCACCGACTGATCCTCAGTTCCTTCCAGATTTCATCATGAGTGTCAAAAACACCTTTGAAGGCATCTGCTCTGTGCATCACTTGAGTTTTGAGTGTTAGCGGAGTCACAAAAGTGTGTAGACAGCAGGAAAACATGACAGTACACATAAGTTGCGGGTTATCATCAGATGGCGAGGCTTGAAGGGGATAGTTAGTGATGTAATAATCAGTGACGATTAGCCAGATTTATGGATTAAACCAAGATAATAAGTAAATGTAGTTATATATGTGAAAGTTTAAAAGTTTGTGAGGAAGCACAAATTCCCTCACTAACATTTGTATAAGCCCTTTGTTTGTAAAGAAAGGTAGGCATTTTTCTTCAATTTATAAAGGCAAATACATTTAATACGCATTTCAATTAATTTTGCTTCTTAAAATTATGTTAAAAAGACACACAATCATGATATTAATCACCATTTCCTGTGTTCAGTCCTGGGGGCCATCTTTTGTCAGTGCTCAAAAGAGGAGCATGCCTCCCAAGTACTCCTTATATGTGTTGGATGAGTAGGTGGAGTTTTGGGTGTCATTGGCCGGATAATGTTTGATGTGATGTTACATTACATGTCACTTGTTAGACGCTTTTATCCAAAGCGACTTACATATATTCAGTACTGTGGGCAATCCCCACAGGAGCAATTTGGGGTGAAGTGTCTTGCCCAGGGACACAACGACATGCTGACTGCAGTGGGACTCAAACTTGCTCTCCCCTGATCCGAAGATCAGCGCACTATTCCACTGGCCAATTAACTTAAAAACTGTCAGTTTTGTGCATATATTGTTTGTCTTTGAAGGCACCACATTTGTTTTAATGAATTGACTTAGGCCTTAAGGATTTAGTTATATTTAGAAAACAATGTTTATTACTCTGTTTTCCAGTTATGTCTTGTTCCAGGGTCATGACCTGATTACTTTTTATTTTTACATCGAAATCTCTTAAAGGCAAATACATTTTCTGTGGTATGTCTCTATCTGACACTCACACACTCACAGCCAACTGTCTGCCCCAGTCGGGTCAGCTCACATTAGGAGTTTATATGCTAATGTCATATGGCCTCTTCTCGACCCAATAGAGTTTTATCCAACACATTAAGTATGCAGGGTTGACTACAAAATAAAAGCTAATCCTAATCACATTGAGGTTCTGTAAGTATGTCATTCTTAAAATAGATATTCGCCAACCGAAAAAAATACCTAACAAGTTACCTTTGAACTGGAGGCTAATACAGAGCAAAAATAAGAGTAATTATTGAATACATTTTCACAAATTAGACAGTTAGAAGTCTCCAATTGTTTGCTAACATGTTTGCCATGCTAACTCTATAATGTCACAATATGTCAGCTATGTAACAGTGTGTTTCCACTGTCCCCTAATGCCCAACAACCCTGTTATTGCAAGTTTAACCAATGTGAAACAATCTACTGGTTGAGTACTCTGTTAGAAACTGGTATTCTGTCACATGTTAACACCTTCTTTAAGTTTGTGATCACTTTGGTGTTTCCTCAACTTGAGTCATGTTGCAGTAAATAAATCAAATAAAAAAAATGTCAATCTGTTTTTAGTTTCTGTGTATGGTAATCACTTATTATTCCTGAAATCTTGGCTATGGCTCTGTAAATAGGTACAAACATAATGTCACAGACACAGCAGGATACGGATGATCAGAAACATGCTTATTTTATAGATGTATACTACAAAGGGATATCAATAACTTAATAGGACATTCTATGTCAACTCTTAAATATGATCAAAACATTGCTATAATAAATACGCTTTTTCTGTTGAGTATGTGATACAATATATTGAGAAATGCTTCTGAAGCTTACACTTCAAAATATCTTACAAGACGTTTGTACTTTCCGCCTTGTAAGATCAAATGCAAACTTATTTAACAACTCTCAAATCATGTTTTACAAATAAGAAATTAAGTTATCTTTTATTTGTTTTAATAAATAAATGAAGTTATTTTTTTTTATTTATTTTTTTTTATCTGTTCGAAATAAAGATTGAAATGAAACAAAAATGAATGAAAGTGATGGAACTTCTTGCAGTGATATATTAGAATTAAAGGGAATGTCCATTCTTCTGAAAAGGGACTGGAAGAGTCAAAAGAATAAATGGAGATTTATTGTTAATTGAAAAAGTTCAGTTTAGTTAAGAATAGGCCTGGTTTCAAATATTAATAGCTATTTACAGACTGTAAATGTTTGGGCTTAAACAAATACTACATGTTCACAATTGGGTAGACAAAATAAATAAAAAAACTAAAATGAAGTTCAGTATAAATGGAACAGTAGCGTATGAACATGACACCCTTGCTGTTTACAGCCTGCCTGTTATACTTGTTGGGAAATAGCCTAAGATAAAATAAAAAAACAGAGGTAGTTATAGCTTACTGCCCTAAGGAACACTCATATTAATACAAGTTGTTGGGGACTAACCAATATCTCTTACTGTCCCCATTAAAAACAGTCTACAACTTGGCAAGCTTCATGCATTCTCTGACTGCTTGCATTCAGCTACACTAAATGTATCTAACGTGTTACTAGAGATGGAAGAAGTACTCAGATCTTGTACTTTAGTAAAAGTTGAAGTACCAGAGTGTAGTAATACTCAAGTTACATTAAAAGTGCTGCAATGAAAATGTTACTCTAGTAAAAGTACAAAAGTATTAGCATCAAAACATATTTAAAGTACTCATTATGCAGATTTGCATGTTTTGATTCAAATTATTTATACATCCATGTATTTATCAAAGCTGGTAAAGGTGCCGCTGTTTTAATTCCTTTGTACAGTGCAGGGTAGCTTGTGAATTTCACTCCAGGTGCAACTAAAGTCTTATTTAAGTGTTGATTATATTTCACATTATTAATTTAACTAAGTCAAATTCAAAGATATTAAATAAAAGGTAGTGGAGTAAAAGTACAAGATTTACCTCTGAATTGTAGTGGGGTAAAGTACTAGTACCTCAAAATGCTACTGAAGTAAAGTACTTATATAAATGTAATCTTAGTTACACAACTGCGTGTTATCATCCCAACAGTTCCAGCTAGTTGACAGTCTTTTAGTCAGTCTGACATCCCTCAGTCTGAGAAATACCCAGATTTTTGTATCGATGTAGAGAAGAGGGAACCTCTCAGCAAGATGACCTATCATCAGCATTTAAAAGTTGTCATAGATGGAAAAGGAGGTGTGTGTGTGTGTGCGTGCGTGCGTGCATGCGTGCGTGCGTGTGCGTGTGCGTGTGCGTGTACATGAGAACAAAGTTGTTTTCAGGAGCAGTTAAAAACTGACTAGTCTATCTGACAGGGGAACATCCATTAACAAACCATCCTAACTGAGTGACATCATGCCATCTCATAACTCCTCACATGAGCTGCACTGCTACAGTTTGTGGTTTGAGTCACCTTTATTCCCAATAAGCTTCTTATTCATGTGTTCTTACAGCAAATTAAGTTGTTGTGATTGACTGCTGGATTACCCATATATCATACTTTATTTTAAGCAATGAATAGCATGTACTTGTTCAAAAGAGGTTTTTAAATCAAGCTTATTTCACATGCCTTTAAGCCTTCTTTTAAGATCTAAAATATTCTTCATTCAGGATTTGTTTGGGATGTCTCTTGGAATACACAACTGCCTTGGTAAGATATGTTTTACATTTTAAATTATTCTTATGCTTACATATAAGTTGCCTTTCAGTCTGTGATTGATTTTGAGCAGCTTTAATCTCTGTGCTGAAAAAAAAAATCTGCAGAAAACACATACTTGTCCTGAAAATTAAGGCCTTTTCCCCTTTTTGAACAAATTCATATATGAAATTCATGTAATTAATTCAGAAGTGGAGATAACAATTTCTGATAAGAGAGGAGCCATAATAATATGCATTACAGAACAGAATAACTGTTCTTTTAAAAAAAGCATTATAAATAGAACTTTTATTCAGTTTGTAAGAGCACTCTGAAAAATCCAATATCTAGTAGGACTTGAATTATTAAATCTGCCCCATTCACAGCCGAGATGTGGATCATGCAAAGCCGTGGCTCAAAAAAGATTTTCTAAATGCACTTCATTATCATCTAATTCCGAAACCATGGGCATTAATATGCTACGGCTCCCACTCTTCTGAGTGGGTTCTCCTCCAGGCTGCAGGGATTTGCTACTATTCAGCCACAAGAACATCATCCTCATCAAAATGTTTGCAAACCCAGCACTATTCAAAGGTGTGGAATGGGGTTGAGGTCAGGGCTCTAACTGACTTTGTGCATGGGGTATAGGCTTGCTTAAACAGAAAAGGGCTTTTCCATACTGTTGCAACAAAGTGAAGAGGTAAGTGTAGAGGTAAGTGGGCACTAATGGCTGAGTCCTTAACGTAGCAGCCCAGGTTTAAACGGTTTTCCCCTTTCCTGTCCATCCTCAGCTATCCTATCTAATAAAGGCAAACATAGCTTAAAAGCACATTGTATGGCTAGCGGTTCTCCAACTTAGTAATTATAGAATTACATAATTGACTCAACAGAATACAGGGATTCAATTAACATGTCTGCCACATACACGATAACTTAAAAAAGAAGAAAATACATTTTCTTTGCTCAAACAAACCACTTTCCTTGTGGAATGATTTATGGAGCTGAAATATCCTGAAGCTCATCTCAGGATAACTATTAAATATACACTATATTTTAAAACTGCATCTAATGTGGCCAGAGTTCTATTTTATATCTCCAATGCCTGCAAAATACCAAATATCCTAAACAGAAGCTCAGCTGGAGACCCTGAATTGTGTCAAGACTTGAGGCGAAATAATTGTTCTGCTTGAGCATCTAGAGGGGACGCATGGAGAGGACAGTTTTGGGGCGAGGCCCAGGCTGGAGACACAACCTGTCCCTTGTCCACTTTCTGCCTGACTTCCCGTTGTGTTCGGAAATGGAACATTAAACAGCTATAGATCATTGGAGTCTGAACTCTCCAGGACAGGAAGAGGTCAAAGCCAGAAGGTGACGAGGCATTTCATGTCTTGCTGTTTTGACACCTGCCACTGTGCTAATGTCTTCTCCGACAATATTGTTGCTTCAACACAACATTGAATTTATTTTATAATAGCACACCCAGCCTTGCCACCACGCCCCATCCTTTAATTAACGGCAATTGTCAGCTACAGAAAATCTTAAACAAGGGCACAGTGATTACTGTCTTTGAAACAGAATTATAGTGCACACACATTGGCAGTTGTATTGACTGATTTGGCTCTGGCAGCGCATAAAACAATATCAAGGAGCTTTATGAGCCTGAATAAACAGATGGTCTATTGATTAAACTTTCATGTAAATGTGCAAACAGAAAACTTGAAGGTCACTCTGAAATGAAACTCAGATGCCTTGAAATAACCAAGGGAATTACCAGAAATTATAGAAGTCTAAAATGTGTGTGTGTTGTGCCCAAGGAAAATATAAACTAAGTTAAAAAGACATATGGGACCTCTGTTTATGAAAAAGCAATTTTGGGCAAGCTTATTTCAATGAGGTTTACTGACCTTCGCTAAATGTCTGTTTCAGCCAGAAAGAGTGCCAATGTGGAAGATAACTGTTACATTAGAGTGATTGACACAGCAAGTATTAAATGATGGCGAAGACCACTCACAAGGACAGAGATACTGACATACACACGCATTTGGTGGTGAGATTGATTGCAAAACCTGATGGGCATGTCTATGCATAATAATAGCTGTGTAAACATAGGGATGTATGGTGTTTAGTGTCGTGACCCCCCCCTTTTTGTCCAGCGCCGTGTACCTGGTGTCAACAGAATGACTGAGGTGACGATCAGTGAGCAGATGATCAGAATAACAAGAAGGGCGATCGCTATTCCTTTCCAGTTCCTCTGCGGAGGGTTACTGCCCACCAGCTCCTGCAGGCAGAGACACAGAGAGGAAAAGAAAATACATTATTATTATGGGAGCGAATGAGAGTACGACTTATGAAGAGAGATTTGGGTCAAAATTAAAGAACATTTTAACAAAAGGAGAACAAAAATGGGACATGAGAAAGAAGAGAGTTAAATATCTTACGGTACTACAGAAAAGGAAAATAATCGGAAGTAGTATAAATGGCAAAATAATGAAAGTGAACAATGGGGGTGTCAGTCAAGGACGAACGTGATCCAGTCACATAATCAATGTTCTCAAGGAGAGATGCCAGCTCCAGCAGCAGCACCACCCCGAGGAGGAGGGGGGAGAATTCTTAATGAGCCGAGCATCAGCGACCATCATCCCCGAACGAATGTGAAAGAAAAAATGACACCCACAACACATTGGTGAATTGCACGCTTGAAAAAAGCTTGGCAACAGAAGAGATAAGCTTTAAGGTTGGGAAAACAAGTCTGAGTTATGAGCAACCTTGAGGGTATTTATTTTGTCTGACGGACTTATCCAGAAAAATAAACCTTATGCAGTTTAATATTGTTGTAAGTGAAAACTCATTTTACAGAAATAATTTGGCAATAGACAATGTATCACTGCGAGATATAAAATAAAAATAAATGGGAGAAAGCAGCTTTAAGCTTGTGTTCAAGCACAAATCAAATCAAGTGCATGCCAAATGTATTTGACAAACGGTGATGTGCAATAGGTGGATAAGTTCAGTGAAAAGCATTTTTACAATTCCAGAAACTCCAGTGAGCAGCTATGGATGTCTCTGGATGTCCACCAAACTTCTAGCATTTATTTGCAGCAGTTTCTCAGTTACTAGAAACAACATGAAATTGTATTTATCGGTAAAATACTCTAAATAGGACAGTTAGTACTTCTGATAGCAATCACTTTTTGTAGCAAACAACTGACTATATCCTGCTGCCATGTTTTATAAAGTTGTGTTTCTGATCACCTGACAGACATGCATTACATTTATTTTTATTATAAAAACTATGCAATCAGCACTATTGATTACTGTATTTTCAAAAGTAATAATTGGTCTTTGAACCGAAGGGTCGCTGGTTCACGTACCGATCGGACAAAAATAAAGAGTGTGGACTGGATAGGTGCCAGTTGAGGTGTTGAGGTGCCCTTGAGCAAGACAATGTACCCCTAACTGCTCTGGACCTGCATGTGGTGCTCAAGTATATCAAGCAATGTGTATAATCTGATAAAAAAAAAAAGTATCAATGAAGTATATTATTTATTTTAATAAAGTATATCTTCTTCTTCTCCTGGATCTGCCTTGCACATGGACAAACCATCTGTCCTGGAAAGTCAAGAGCTCAAAAATACAGTGGAGGATTAATAAGTTCTTAATGAGTTTGTAATGGATTAAAACAATCAAAGCAGAGTATGTGCTTTAGGGACCTGTGGCTGGAGCCATAATAAAAACTCATAGGGCTTTAATGAAGCTGAATGGTTGAGCTATGAAGCAAACCTTTTAGCGACCTCGTTCCCAACTTAATTGAAAATAACCCAAGACATCATTAGCCTGCAGATAATAGCAATCGGGGCTATTTACTAGACTGCCCATTACTCTATTCATTAAAACAGTTAGTCAGCTGTATTGCCATATTGTAGAGCTGTGATAGCAAAAAGGAACACCACAAGTAAAATTGAGTTTACCAAAGGTCTTTCTAGGGCTTGAATTTGCCAACTGAAAGTTTTCTCTTACTAATATCCACAATGTTTTTTTCAAAATAGAAAAACAGTAATGTCTGGGATAATTTGAGTACTTATTTTGTAATAGAGAAAAGTTATTTTTTTTAAACGTTTGATTGAAAAAGTGGGGATCAATCAGAGATCATCTGATAAAACATGTTGTAAAGGGTGATGAGCCGACTGTCCACAATGTATGTTTATCTTTGCTGATAAATTCCTCGTGTACAGTCTTTGTTTTTCTACAGAAATGTATCCTACTGGAGATTTATGAGATGAGAGATTGGTATAAAGCCCTCTGGTGATTTCTAGTCAACATATGTGACTAAGTTGTATTCGTACGGAAAATGGTCAAAAAAGTAAAATAAAAAAACTGCTCTATTGAGAGCAACTACTTAAATGCAATAATGGGATGGAAAGTGAGCATGACAGAGTGCTCAATGAGAGTTGTGCACAATAAAAGAGCTAAATAAATCTGTGCATATTTGGAAAAAACAGCCAAAAGTCAATCCGGACGGGCTTTAGCCAGACACATTTTGTCAAAGTGGCAAAGTGCTCATCCATGCAATTTCATTTCATTTTAAGCAACAATAACCATCACCAACTTTTTCAAATAAAGATATCTTTAAATGTACTCAACCTTTATTCAGAGTCTCCGGAGGAAATAAAAAACCTTTGTACTTTGGTAGAAAAGATAGTCTGCACTGTCAGATTTAAACATTTCTAGAAGTATGAAAATGTTTTTGTAGTTAGGGTTAATATTCAGCTCAGCTCTACTTCTGTAGAACAAGCAACCACACACACTCACACATACAGATGATGCAAGTCTGCAAAGTGCTTCTTGTTTTCTCTCCACCTTCTGCAACAGTAACAGCATGCTCGGGCATGCTAAAAGATCTATTCCATTCTTACAATGATTAGGGATTCAGTATCAAACAGCATTTCCATATAGCTCAGCATCTCTGGGGGAACATAATACCATATCCGAAAAAATACAGATCCACAGAAGCTCCCTCTCAGAGAGAGAGCGAATAGCATAAATGTGAGGATCCACACCTTGCTGGGGTGAAAGCATAATAATAATTGGACCCCAAATGATTAAGCAGACCAAAACCTCATCAAGAAATTATGTTATTTATTTTCTATTCCTGAGCTTGAAGGGCATAATGGTAATCATTTATTCAGTGTTGGTAAGGGCACAGATGCAGGCTGAAAACCTTGCCAAACCATCCTGATCACGACCCTCTGATCTGTAATTATAATAATGATTGGACTAATTAGCTAGAAATAAAAAGTGAATTTAGCAGAAGAGCAACGAGGAAAAGTAAATAAATAACATGTTGGTAGGCTGCAGGAATATTACATGTTACTTGTTAGACGCTTTTATCCAAAGCGACTTACATACTCAATACTGTGGGCAATCCCCACAGGAGCATTTGGGCAGTGGGGTTTGAACCTGTGCTCACCTGATCTGAACACCAATGCACTGCGCCACACACCTCCACTGACAGGAAAGCTTGAGGCTTTACTTGTCCTTAGCAGCTGTCATGTTTGTATCTGCAGAGCATGCACAGGAATCATCAGTGCTGATTCCCGAGAGTGTGAAAGGCAACACTGTGCCAATGCCTCCAAAAGTCAACACCAGCAAAAGTTAGTCCTACACTTTCCCCTTTTTTTCCCTTTGGCCATAGAAAATGCTTAAAGGGACCTATCATGCAAAATGCACTTTTGTACGTCTTTTATACATGAATATGTGTCCCCGGTGTTCCAGGGAACTCACCAAGTGTCAGAAAACACAACCCTCTCTATTTTCCTCCATACCCAAATCTCTAAAAAAGGGTCTGCAACGGATCTGATAAAAACTGATCCAGATTTGAACACTGTCCTGACGTCAGGACAGTGGCGCTACGGCTATTGGGCCAACTTCACCAATCAGGAGGAGACAGCCACGGCCATTGCCGTTCGAAAGCGCTGGAGACGCTGTAGTACATATGCCAGGCCAGTAGATGGTGCTGTTCTCACAGAATCATCCCTTGCAAAAACAGAGCTAGAAATGGTCAAATTTAGCAAAATGAGGCATGGCTAAAATGCATGATCTGTTTGGTATTTTGAAAAAAAAAAGTATAAATATGCCTTATATAGGTATGGTCCTACACTATATTATTCAAATATAGCATGATAGGTCCACTTTAAAGTATTGGGTGTTGGATTCAGATGCAAGACATTGCAAATTCATGATCCACTTATCTAACAATGTTAATCATTGTTGTATTGCTAGATTGCCACCATCACCAACATTCCATCATCTCAGGAATATTTAAAAGACCATGATGATTTTCACATCTTGTACACAACAAGGATATACTGTATGTGCTTTATATGAATATACTTTGATACGGAAAGGGAAACAATGCAAGTGCTATTCCCTACTTTACCTTTGCAATTTATTTGCCTGTTGTTTGATTCTATTGTTTTTATAACTGTATAACCCCAATGCCACAATTCTAGAAATGTAGTAGTTGATACCAATATCTTTGAAATTATATAATCGGTTTTCAAACATATCCACTGCCGACCTGTTCAATACAGAATTGACTTTAAGATCCCTATCCATAAAACTCTGGACTCAAATGTTATATATGGCGTACCTCCAGTTTATCAATCAGAATCAATTCTTGGTTCAATAGAATAAAGCACGGGACAGCTAAAATAATTATTTGGGATTTGCATAAACACTATTAATCCTTTAGGATAATCAAAAAATATGTTTGCTTGATTAAGATTTGTTGGTGTACTTTCTAGCTTTATTCTTGCTTTGACTGATACAAATAACAGGGTTCATACACTTTTTCACCAATGATTTTCAATGACTTTTCCATTATCTTTACCTAATATTCCATGACCGAAAAAAATTACTCTTTCTCAGCGGTACCACTGAAAATGGTTTATTTTAACATGGAACAGGAAAATGAGGTCAGTAAGCATATGAAACATGTTGTGCCTATCTAAAACAAATCAAATAGTAGGCTTACTAGCTTCTACATGCTAAAGCAGTGTTTCTCAACCTGGGGGGCGCAGAGGCATGACAGGGGGGGCTCGAGAGACCAGGAGGAAAAATGGTTTTGAAAAAGAAAATTAAAAAAAGAAAATTCATAATTTGAAAAATTATTGATTCGAAAATAATATGATACAGTACAGTACAAGTACGTCTGGGTCTCTGTGTTTCATTCAAGCTCGGCTCTGTGTGTGTGTGGAACGAGCCATTGTGTGTGCGTGC